TCAACGTGCAACAAGAAGTTGATTCGCGGCGATGAAGTCTCAGGAGTGGTGTTCTGGCACGATTCAGGATCGTTAGGACACACCAATCAGATTGACCCGTGGCGTTGAAATCCTGAGGATCATGCTTTGGCGCCCTTCTGGGTTTTCGCACGGTTGTCTCCCAACGAGGCACTTCCCTCAGTCGAAGTGACCCCTTGTATGGGGCCTATAAAGAGGGAGCTTGGAGGGAGGGTGTATCCCCAACATCGTTGATGAGTCTTGGCTTTGAACTGGTCCGCCTCCTCCTCTTCCTCCTACTCCTCCTGGCGCACACTCCACGGCCCACGGTGCACAGATATTCTCCCGCTTCCCCTTTTGTTTCTCCTCCTCCTCGTCCACCTCCTCCTCCTCCTCCTTCAGGGCGCTCCTCCACCTCCTCTTCCTTCTCCTCCTCCTCCTCCTCCTCCTCCTCCTCCTCCTCCTCCTCCTCCTCCCCCTCCCCCTCCCCCTCCCCATTCCCATCCCAGCTGGAGAGGCTGTCCTGACCCCTTTCCATGTCTATCGCGGAGGGAGGCTGCTCCAATGCGTGGAGCTCTCGTCGAAAGCTGTGCTAGTTAGCGCCCTCCATGCGCCTTGACCTCGCCCTTTTGATCTCCCCCAACCATCCCCCCCCCCCTCCGTCTCTATTCCTCCTCCCTAGAATACGGTCGGGAACCTCTGCTTAGCTTGTTGCCGCGGCGGCCCAGGCGACACGCTACGCACTGCAGGCGGGTAGCGTACCGCTCCGCTCCGTGGAGCGGGAGACTCGGACAGGCCCGGGACGTTAAAGCCCGGAGACAGGAAATGGGACAGCGCGTCGCGCCTGCGCGTGGTGGGCCAGAACCGGCGGAGCGACACGCTATCCAACAATTCCCCATACGCCCGATGGAAGGAGTGGATTGAGCCCGATGGGCCAAATTCGGCCCAGGATCGGGCTGGATGGAGCGGGATGAGACCAGATTGAGCGGGATCAGGCCAGGACGCGACGGTTCCAGACCGCGGCTATAGGAGTTGCAACCGAGCCTCCCCCTCATCAGCCTGCCCCCCCCTCGTCGTCGTCGTCGTCGTCCTCCTTCTCCTCCTCCTCTTCCCTCCTCCTCCTTCTCCTCCCTCCTCCAAGGGCGAGTCTGGTATCCCCCCGTCTTCTGATCGCTCTCTTTCGTTACTTGCCCCGCCTCCACGAAACGCAAACCCACGCAATTACTCTCACCCCGTCAGCACAATGTTAGCCAGCGAGGGCCCCAAACAGCGTGGTTATACCAATATCTGTTGTGCAACCTGCAACCTATGTGTAGCATCTTATGTGGTGCAATTTGTGTTAATCCAAATATGTTGTGCAATATATGTTGCGCAACCGATGTCCTGCATTTCAAGCTGTGCGATCAAAGTGTGTGTGTGGGTAGATGTTGTGCAATATATGTGGGACAATCTAGGTAATGCAGTCTATGTGGTGCAATCTTGTGCAATATGCGGAGAATAATCTATGTGTTCTTCTCTAGGCGGTGCGATCTCTGTGGTACATCCTATATGAAGCAATCAATGTGGTGCAACGCGTGCTGTCTACACGAAAATCCGATCCTCCCCTATGCTCTCCCCGCGTCCCGCCGTGCCCCAGCCCGCGTCCGGTATACGCCTGGCGCCCGCACCTGCTTCTGCTTGCTTGCGCCCGCTGACTTTTCTGTCAATAAAGAAAAAAGAATCACGACGCGAGGCTGTCAGGGTATCCTGCGAGGCGGGGATTTGTCCATATCCACCGCCTGGAAACCGACGTCCTGGTGCCCCAGCAGGCGGTGGATATGGATATATTTTGGCCCCCAGGGGCCCGAATCTATCCATATCCACCGCCTGCGAGATCCCCGAACATTTGAGCAGGGACGGCCCGTCCCGGCATTCCTATAGTCCTACCACGAAATGTTCTTAGGAGCAAAAACTGTTCTGATGGCAGAAACAAGGTTCTTAGAACATCAACCCGGTGTGAGAAACCAAGGCAGGCTCCGCCAAAAAGGTTCCAAGGACATCTCGTGGGAGCCACAAGAGGCTCTTAGGACACTGCTCGCTAGGGCTATATAGGCGAGCCGGGACGCTTCGCCACTGCCTGAAACATGGATCCTCCAGGCGGTGGCCGTGTAGAAACTCCCGCCTCGGGCCTCCTCCTCCTCCTCCTCCTCCTCCTCCTCCTCCTCCTCCTCCTCCTCCTCCTCTCCCTCCTCCTCCTCCTCCTCCCCCCTCCTCCTCGTCGTCCCCTCTCCTCCTCCTCCTCCTCCTCCTCCTCCTCCTCCTCCTCCTCCTCCCCCTCCTCCTCCTCCTCCGCCTCCTCCTCCTCCTCCTCCTCCTCCTCCTCCTCCTCCTCCTCCTCCTTGCTGCAGCCTCCGAGCCTCCGAGGGCGGGGGCGACGGCCCGGGGGGGGCCGCCGGCGGGCCTTCTTCCGCGGCTCGTCGTCCGAGGCCGCGTCCCCGCCTCTGGCGGCCGCTCCGGCGCCGGCCTCCCGGGGGGCTGCGGGAGGGCGGACGGACGGGGAGGAGGGACGGGGAGGAGGCTTCCTTGCCAAGGGCCCAGACCCCCTCGGGACATGAAAAAATCACGACGGGAGGTTTTTCGCCATTTTCGGCCTCTGGGGGCCCTGACTCGGGACCGTCAAAAAACGACTCAGGATGAAGAACCGGTCCCGGGGAATGGGTCCAGATCTCTGGGGGTCGCGTCATGAAAAATTCATGACGTCGGGGGTCTGGGGGGGCTGCGCCTTCGGGAAAGGGGATTTTCTGCGGGGTCGCCGGGCTGCGCTCGTCTCGCTCGGTCCTGCGTCGCGCGTCTTGCCGGATGCCGCTCGCGCGCAGGCGCCCTGTTCCAAGGGTCGGGGTCTAGCGGTGCCAGACACTGGAACGGTCACCTGGGCCTCGACGTAAGAAAACCCCTGATTATTTTGCTCCGTCCCCTGCCACAGTGCGGCGAGCAAGCAGAATGGAGGAGGTCCAGGAGCCTGGAGGATGGAGGGATGGAGGATGGAGGGATGGGGAGGATGGAGGGATGGGGAGGATGGAGGATGGAGGGATGGGAAGGATAGAGGATGGAGGGATGGGGAGGATGGAGGCTGATGGAGGATGCAGGATGGAGGGATGAAGGCCGATGGAGGATGGAGGGATGGAGGCTGATGGAGGATGGAGGATGGAGGGATGGGGAGGATGGAGGACGGAGGAGGTTCAGGGGCCTGGCTGAGGAGGGGTGGGGAGGCGGATCGAGAGACTCACGCTGGAGTTTTTGTTTCCTGGGCGTCGCTGATGAGGGGGGCGAAAAAATGGGGAGGGAAAGAAAATACACTTCTCGGGCCATCAAGGTCCCCTTTCGGGGCCGTGCAGGGCCTCTTTTCTGCAACCCTCGCTGCCCGCTGCCCCCTCCCCTTGCTCGCCTCCCCCATTACGCGACGCCCAAGATCTGGAGGGTCTGCTTGGCCCCGGAACGTATACACCGACGCCAGGCCTCCACAAGCCCGCCGGTGGGCGGGGAGGCGGTGCTGCACTGACCTCTGGCCCGACAAGATGGGCAGGGTGGAGGCTCCCCAGTTAGCACGCGACGCCCAAGTTTCGCCATGTTCGGCCGCTGGAAGCTGGCACTGGGGCTCCCTCGGGCCTTTGGTGATCGATCAGGGTTGGAACCTGGCCCCGATGGACTCCGCGAGGAGCCCAGGGCTCGATTTGGGAAGGATTTGGTCGGGAGAGTAGCAGGGGATGGTGAAAGACAAAGGGCGAAAGGCGAAAGGGCCCGTAGAGCGGGACAGCCCGCTCTGGCGCTACGCTGGGCCGCGGAAAATGCAGTGCACTACATCACTCCACCTCTTGCGTTGGCCACCAATGCGTCTAGATGCTGTCAATCGATGCCAAGGTCGCCAGCGTAACAAGAGGAGGAGGAGGAGGAGGAGGAGGAGGAGGAGGAGGAGGAGGAGGAGGAGGAAGGAGGTAGGAGGAGGAGGAGGAGGAGGAGGAGGAGGAGGGAGGAGGAGACCAGCTACGATGGCGCAAGAAGGCATCTGGCCGACGTCCTCCGAAGAAAGAGTGGGCTTACCTAGCCTTCCCGCCGCCTGTCAAATGGACGCCTTCCCGTGGCGCGCCGACGCCGTGGCCCGGGGCCAGGGAGGCAGGCAGGGAGGGGAGAGGATCGCTCACAGTTACACAGGCATCAACTTCCGGAGGTCCGCGCGGGCTCCCTGGGTCGGCGCTGGCAGCCCCGCCGCTCCAGGCGGCGCCTCCGGCGCCGCCCCTGGTGAGCTCCGCGCGCCTCGGGAGGCGTGCAGAGAGGTGGGTCCAGCGCCGACCCAAGAAATTCGCGCGGACCTCTCAGTCTATCTTCGCAGTCCTTGGTCTTCGAGTTGGGGCGAGGGGCGAACATCACCAAGATCAATTTTGGACGAACGCTGCTCTCCGACACCGCCCGAAAACAAGGCTGCCGGCTGGCACGGCAATCCGCTTGGGGTCGAGGGTGCCGGCAGAGCAAAAGCGGTCGAGGCGATTGCGGGCGTGCCTGCACGGGCAATTCGCAACACCACGGGGGAAGAAGAGGACGAGCAGGAGGAGTGGTGGCTGGTGCCCTGATGTCAGCTGCACAACAACAGACTGCAGAACACCAGCCTCACCCGGGCGAGCCAAGCTCACAGCTTACACCAGACTGGGGCCCAAGCGCCAGGGAGGAGGGATCCCCTTCGGAATGCCGCGAGCCAGGCAGTACATCCACTGAGCAGCGGCCCGAGACGCATCTGCATGCGCCCCGTCGCTGTCAGCACCAGGAGCGCAGGGAGCTGGCACCGAGCAGGGCGATCCTGACCGCAGGCCAGGGCCGTGCCGTCGCTCCGGAGCAGATTTTCGTGCTCGTGTCCAAACTTGCCCCCGACCAGCGAAGGGAGCTCGCACTGGCCCCGATCGATTTAGGGAACCGAAAAATGACATAAACACAAAAAACTCGGAGGTCCGCGCAGATTTCTTGGATCCGCGCTGGACTCCCCTCCCTGGCGCGCGGAGCGCGCCAGGGGCGGCGCCGGAGGCGCCGCCAGGGGTCCCCAGCGCCGATCCGAGAAATCCGCGCGGACCCCCGAGTTTGTATGTTTATGTCATTGTTTGTGTCCCTACGATTCTGGCAGCGAGTCCCCGCCATCGCCTTTCGCTAACATTGCGTGGCGAATTCCAGCGACTGCCTGCGTTTAACGGGCGAAGAACGGTATAAAATAAACTTTTTCGCCGTCGGGGACACCTGCCCCAGGGCGGCTGGAAAGTTCATACCCTTACGGTGGCACCGTAGGGGTATAAACTTTCCAGCCGCCCTGGGGCAGGTGTCCCCGACGGCGAAAAAATTATGTTATACCGTTCTTCTCTCGCTGATGCGTGCGCGTCACACCCCCGACCAGCGCAAGGAGCTGACACCGACCCTTACCAGCCTTGCCGCAGGCCACGGGCCGTGGCCCTCTCCAGAGGCAACCTGCGTACAGTCTGGGCGTTGACCTAAGGAACCCTAAATAAAGAGCGAGGCCCATTTTTTTCCATAAGTTAAACTTCGATTTCCGATCGAAAACATAAGGAACACCTGAGGCAAGCTGTGAAACACTTCAGGAACGCGGAGCCCCTCCCAAACGAAAAGGGTTCCTTGTTCAGGGCCCCGACTGTATACGCCACGTCCCTGGTCAGCGCAAGGAGCTCGCACTTGTGGACACCGACCCCGCAACCCACCTGGGGCACGAACGACCTCTGGGGACGGCCGCCCAGACGTTCGGCGGCGGGAGGAAAATCGGGACGGCCGTTGCTTCTGTGTTCTGGGCCTTCGGATGCCGGTTCGGGGCCCCGGGGCCATCGAGAAACGACTCACGATGAAGAGCTGGCCCCAGAGAAGCGCTCGAGGGGTCCAGGGCCCGACGCCGGGAGACAAGCGAGCCGCCAGATGTCTGAGGACGAGGAAGCGCCAGGCGGTAGCATTGAGCATAAACTCTCCACCCCCTCCATGGCGCGCGGAGCGTGCCAGGGGGCCCAGCGCCGATCAAAGAAATCAACATGGAGCATAGACACTTTATGCGCATGGCAATACTATGATTCGATGTGTGCGGCATCCTGCTCTCCACTCCTCTTCCGCCACCTTCCCAACGGTACGCGTAAAGAGATGAGGATGAGGAAGAGAAGGAAGGGGAGGAGGAGGAGGAGGAGGAGGAGGAGGAGGAGGAGGAGGAGGAGGCGGCAGGAGGAGGAGGATAATGCGGAGGAAGGGGAGGAGGAGGAGGAGGAGGAGGAGGATGTGGGAAGAGGAGGAGGAGGAGGAGGAGGCGGAGGGAGAGGAGGAGGAGGGCGAGGCGGAGGAGGAGGAGGAGGAGGAGGAGGACGACGAGTTTGTGGAATGAGGACAGTGGAAGGAGAATGAGGAAAATGAGGAGGAGAAAGAGGAGGAGGAGGAGGAGGAGGAGGAGGAGGAGGAGGAGGAGGAGGAGCATAGCTGACCGCTCTGGTTCATGAATAATTTGATGTCTTATGCCACGTTCTGGGATCGCCTCGGTCCACCATTGTATGCAGTTCCCAGCGCCATCATTGTATTCACGACGTTGTGAGCTCAAGGGCGGCATCACCGAATGATCGCACAACTCAAACAAGGCAGGATTACGCAGCCTTTTCACGCACCGAGTGACTAATGAATAACGCCAGAACTGCCAATTCCACTCCCAACGATAGCACGGACTGAGGGCTGACAGAGGCCTCCCACACACTTTGCGTCCTAGCTCCGCAGCGTGTTGAAGGCCAGAAGCACCCGCACGTGCGCCACAAGCGCAGGGTGTGGTTCAGAGCACACACACACACCGCAAGTCGGCACACCATTGATGCAGATGTACGGAATTGACGAAGTACTCGACGACGACAATCATGAGGCCGAGGCAGATACAGAACTTACAAGTAGGCCCGGACATATGCAGAATAACGACGGTGAAGAGGAAAGCGAGATCGCCCCGCGAGGTGACACGGGTGACCTTTTCCACAGGATAGCCGACCGCCACCTGGCGGCTTCCGGGGAAATCAGTCCACAGAAGGGCACTGTTCCGCCTGCGGGGTGACAAAGGGGCCCTGCTCCAACGCAGGTGCATCGCCACTCTAGGAGTGACGGTTGGCAGGTTCCCCAGCAGGATTGATCGCCGACCTGCGGTTGACCGAGGGACCTTCTCCACAGCGGCGCGGAGCATCGCCACCCTAAGCTCCAGGGGTGACGGCTAGGCGGCTCCCCAGCGGGACTGATCGCCGGCCTGCGGGTGACAGAGGAAAGCCTCCTCCACAGTAGGGCAGAGCCTCACCCCTGGGGCAACAGGTTGGCGCGTGCTCGTCCGTAGTGCGATGACCGTCGTTCGACCGCTGGTCAAAATACACGTCGGTCCAACTGGTTGCGCCCAGGGCGTCTTGGCCCCCCGCGCTCGCAAGCATACGCCAGCGACGAAAGTTCTCACTGTCCCCCAGCCGCGGATGCACCGCCCGG